CAGGCTGTGGGAGGCGGCGGCGGCGGCGGCCCGGCCCCCGGGATTCTCGAAGCGACTTTGCGTAGGTTTGCCGGTGTCCAGGCCTCCAGGCTTGTGAGAATTTACGCCTACCACGTAGGTGGAGTCGTGAATCTCGACTTCAGCTCCGGCTCTATAGGTTTTTTTTTTTTTTTTTTTTTTAAATTCTCCAAGATGGCGAACTGCCATCGATTTCTCTTCTCATCCTATGGAGACTCATCGATATACCGTTATCCCCAGTTACGCAGTAGAGCTCTAAAAAGGGGGTGCTTTTAGGGGGCTTTCAATAATCTGCGAAGATGAGGAGACACTTTATTTCTCCAGGCACTCTCTAGCGATGGTGATAACGGTGCTCATGTAGATTTGTGCTTCACGTTCACATTGCATGATTTTCTTGTGACTTGATGGTTTTGACTTGGTTGCCACATGTTTGGGGAATATTTGTCACTAAGCCTCCAGTGCTGCTTATTGTTTTATTTCTGCCCAAGGCTCTTCATGAAATTGTGGTAGTTGTATCAAATATGAGACCATTCCCTTAATTTCTTAGCCCTATGCTCCCTTCCCATTAAATGCCAAAATTTAGGTTCTCTATTACGGGCGCTAATTTCTCCTTTACTACTTAACGTGGTCGAAGATCTAACTGTGGAACTCAGCCCTTGATACTAGTACTTTAAGGTCTCCTATACCCGCAGTGGACTATAGTTCTTGTAGAGAATTGGCATCTGGTGATCAACTTTTTTCCTGCAGTCCTCTCGTCTTTGTGTGTGAGTTCCCGCTGTCTGGCTAGGAAGATTGCGGGAGTGTGCTTGGAAATGGCTGGGGCCTGCTATGACTCTGCAGTTCTGATGGGGGCGACGCCTTCTTTCTTATTCATGGAATGTTAGAGTGCACGTTTTCTCCTTTCCAGTTCTGGTGGCTACCTCAGTTTCTTTCCAAATCTCGTTCCATTTTCTCTATTCTTTTACCATTGCCTACTGCAGTGCCGTAGACAGAATCCGCTTTGCGTTGCCCAGAGAGAAAACTGATTACTGAGATGGGAGGGGAAGGGAAGTTGGAGAGAAAAAGGAGTAGTGGCTAGAAAAGTAGGAGGGAAATATGAATTTGGAAATGTGCGGAGGCCTAGGGATTGAAGTTCACATCTTCAGGAATATTTCGCGCTATTCCAAGTAGAAAAGTGAACAGGTCTGCTAATCACCGGCTTTATTTGAGACTTTCAAGCAACTTTAAATTTGATGCAACATGACTGACTGTAATGTGACAGAATGGGATAGACAAGCTGTTGTTAAGAGTTTATAGCTGAATCTTTATCATTATAATAAGCACCTTCAGGCACCACCTGACTTGGTATAGTTTATAAATAACTTAAGTTTGCAGTTTGTCTAGTGTCAACTACCAACTATTTAGAAAGATTCTTTGTATAGACAGGTATTTAGTTAGCAGACCACACTGTTAACTGTGAAATCAAATGAACTGATACACACATGTAATCATGTAAGATTAGGTAGTTCTTCAGAAAAGACCGAATCTTGATTTTACATTAGTGAAATGTGCTGTCTTGTAGTGGTAATATAAATTTAGCACACAGTCTTTCCTGTTGTATTGAGCCTTGAAAGGAATTAACTAAAACTTCATGTGCTTTTTTTCTTTTTCCTTTTTCTGGTGGGCAGCCAATAGAAATAGATATGATTGTAGGAAAAGACCGGGAAGGTTTCTTTACCAACGGTTTGACTCTTGGCGCAAAGAAGTGCTCAGTGATCAGAGATAGTTTATACGTTGATGGTGACTGCACAATGGACATCCGGACAAAGAGTCAAGGTGGAGAGCCAACATACAACGTTGCTGTTGGCAGAGCTGGTAGAGGTAAGCATAGTATTCTTTTGATTAAAAGCTTCATGCCACATTACAACTTATTAAGCAGTTTCTTTAACATTATGAATAAAAGTTAGTCCATAATGGCTATTAAGGTGGTTTTTGTGAACTGCCCAGCACTGAAGGGAAGCACTGCTTTAGATTTACCTACTCTGCAGTAGCTGCACATACAGGCTAGCCTTTTAGATCCTGACTTTATTCTAAAACAGAACATTCAGCTTTAGTAAATGTAAAATCAAAAGTTGTCTTTTAAACTGCTTGACATGTCAAAGGATATAATCCTATGGTGTATCAAATTGTTAAATTGTTCAAATCATTCAGATATTATAGTGCCTTGAGTATTTGACCTTTGGATCTCTTTTCTTTCTTTTTTTTTTCCCCCTGTACTTGCATTTTAATCATTTCACTGCTCAGCATACATTTGGAAAATTTGACATTGGTTTCTGTTCTGTTAGGAACATTGCTGGGGAAGAGAGAAATAATTAGATAAGGATTTTGGAGTAAGTTGTCCATTTACTAAAATATTTTCAAAGATGAAGTGTGTCTGAGATGTAGATTTGAAAAGTAGGAAATTACATTTAGTTTATATACTTGGTCCCCAAATTCTTGTGTCTCCAGACTGTTGTCAACATAGAAGTATCCGCTTTTTTGAAAGTAACTTTTGAAATTGAGGTTTATTGTGACATCTAATTGATTTACAAATAAATTAAAATGTGTTAACTTATGTAAATATTTCGTAAATAAGGAAGGCTTCTGTAACCTCATATAGCAGACTTGGCACGTTTAATTTTAAGACTAACTCTAGTATGTGAAGGGACTTCAAGTTACTCTGAGCTGTAGCTTAATGCTGTGGTTCTGCCAACTCCTTGTGATTGTCCTAAAGGTTACTCTTATTCTGGTGTGAGTTGATCCTTATGAGTATTTTTCTATAGAGAAATTAGATGACTTTAAAATAGACACATCTCTCTAAACATTAGCTGTGCTCATAAGAAATATGCTGAAAAGAAGCCGTCAACCACAGGACATAAAATCAGAATGAGATTTTCAAACCATACAGCACTGCTGACATCTAGTGGTAGTGAATATAAAACTTGAGATATACATATATTTTGGGGATAGACCTAGGAATTGCCTGTTGTTGGAAATAGTAAACTTGTTCCAGGATTTTAGACTCAATTAAAAATAAGACTAGCACAATAAGTATATTGGGAAGAACAAACCTTAAATATTTTTAATTTGGCTTTTTCTGAATGGCACTGAAAACATTGTTTAAAGTTTGATTTTTCTCTGCAAGTAGTAGACACATTTAGCCTCACTGGTAAAACTTAATAGTTTGTACTTATCAAGCATGTTAAATTTGGGGAGAATTTGTAAATAAGAATTACCTAAGTTTTTTAAGTTTGTATTTTTGGGGCAAGTAATATATGTCACATCAACCAGAAATTGTTTGCCCAGAAGTAGAAGATAAATGATCACTTTTTTCCCCTAGCTAGTGTAAAGGTAATTATATAGAACTTTGCTGCTGCACTGATTGGGCAGTCGGTAGTTCCTATGTTGTTTTTAGTATGTTAGTTGGAAAGTTCTTTTTGGAGACCTAATTGACTTCAGTGCTGGACAGTTCATGGAAGACTAACTTAACTTATTAGTCGGGGTTCTGTCTGCTAAAACTTATATGACTTTCTTGATTAACACTTCTTTTGAAACACTTTTCTTCTTTCTCTTTCAGTCTTGGTCTTTGTAATGGGAAAAGAAGGGGTCCATGGAGGCGGATTGAATAAGAAGGCATACTCAATGGCAAAATACTTGAGAGACTCTGGGTTCTAGCTGATAGGCAGACTGTTAAGTATTAGGGGAAAATTGCTCTTAAACTTTCCTAGTTGTAAGCTTAAGTCTTAATTCTGGAAATTTTATTAGCAATGCAGGGTGATGGGGTATGAACCTGTGTCTCCTTTGTATCCCTCTGTTGGTGGGGAAAGGTGTCTTTCTTTCTGCCCTCCCCTGCTTAAATAATTCTGTTCACTTTTGTTTTGTTTCCTTGTGTACTCCAGCATTGGTTATAGTCATGGGAAAGGAAGGTGTCCACGGAGGCACACTTAACAAGAAAGCATATGAACTGGCTTTATACCTGAGGAGGTCTGATGTGTAAGCAGCCTCTCCCCATCTACCTAGCAACTGTCTTCATCACCACCCCAATTATGATCACAATGCTATCAGACTATATAGGTGGTAGCTAATTTTTCTTAACATATTTTTTAATGTCATTATTCCTGTTTGCCCAATGGATCATTTGTATGTTAACCACTGTATGTAACCAACCCTTATCTGGCAACATAATTGCAGCACAATAATGATTTGCATGATACCTTGAAATTGGGGGGAGGGGGCATGCCAAGTTGGGCATCACTTTGTCTTAGCAATTAATGGGATATTGATTACTAAAATAAGTTAATATTAAGCAAGGTGCCAGTTGTACAATCTCTAATTTGATCAATGTCTTTTCAGCACTTTGAGCATTTTAGTCTTCCTTACGTAGCGCATGGTTGGGAGGAAAAAGTGCATGCATCTTTCCTTCACTCCTCTCTTTTTCCCCACCCCCTCCCTTTGCACATAAGGTATTTGGTTTGCTTTCATCTTTTGTGCGGGTCCTGGTTCATTTAACCAATTAATATCTCTTTTGTTGATGAGCTATTGAGAGCTGCAGTAGTTTGCTTTTAGTATTGTTGTTGCACTTGCGTGTAGACAAACCTTTTTTCATAGTGTCCACAGGACACATGAAGAGTGCAACTGCAAAACAAGAGCAAAAAGCACTTCCTCCCATGACCTTACAGTGAGCATACCGATTGAATCCCCAGGGACATTCATTCCATCATGGTAATAGCTCACATTTTTGTTTTTGTCTCTTTCTTTGCACACCAGCTCTACTTTTTAGTAAAATTGTAAAAGGCTGCCATTATGGACATTAGGTATCCCAACATAACCATCTGGAGTGTGTCCAGTTTGTTCTTCATAGGACCAATTTTTATTTGCAGCTTGAGTTTTTATATGAAGTTGCATTATTGTGGACTTGGCTGTCTTGTGATGAATTTTTTTCATATGTATTCTGTGCCATACTATTGTTAAAAATGAACTGTTGCTATTGTGAGATGGATTTGAACTGACCTATTAAGGGTTTCTTTCGAATGGCACTACTTTAGGGACATTCTAGTATTTGCTTCTATTGTTTGGGCCTGTGGATAATGTACAGATTTAAAAACAAATCTTGTTGCTGATTTGTCCATTTCTTTCCCTGCACTTTGTTACATCTGGGATACAGTCTAACTCATCTGATTTAATATGCATTTAAAAAAATGCCATAACTATTAAACACCTTGTTTACAGACAGATGAAATAAATTTATTCCAACCAAACACTCTAGACTCCTGTTGTTTATGTAAATTGTTGGCTTATTATTGCAGTTGATTTTTGACAAAAAAAAAAAAAATGCAGAATAGGGAAGCATAGAATTAAAATAAAACATTTAGCTGATGGCCTACTTCAGGTCGTATTTATTATAAAGTGCCTGGGAATTCCTTTTTAATGGGCTTTGACCTATTAAAAATGGCTTTTAGTCATTTCAGGCTTATCATTAGTCAAATTTCAAATGGACTAAAGATCAGTTGACTCCTGCTAGAAAATATTTTCCTCTTGTTGCTGGTCTCTACATGTGAAATCTAGCGAGCATTAAGGGGCCCCTGTTCCAAGAAGGGTTTCTGCACTCTTGTTGGATTCTTCTGTGTTGAAATATCATATGACTTTAGGTTTGGAGGCTGTATTGGCAGGCTGAAGTCAGCTCTCCCACAGAAGAGCAGAAGATTTAAGGGGCCCCTGTTCCAAGAAGGGTTTCTGCACTCTTGTTGGATTCTTCTGTGTTGAAATGTCATATGACTTTAGGTTTGGAGGCTGTATTGGCAGGCTGAAGTCAGCTCTCCCACAGAAGAGCAGAAGATATTCCTTAGTTAACATATAAGAAGGTTGGGATGCTTTTGCATCTTCTGGCTTTGGAGTGACATGCTGACCATGGCTATGTAATAGGTTTATTCCCAGAGGTCATAAGATCCCTAATATGTATGGAAGTTTAGTAAATATGTAAATTTAGAACTATTTCAATAAATCATTATTACCACAAACTGTCAATCAGAAGCTTAAAGCAGGGACACTCAAAAGTTAGTGGGTCTAAGTGAAACTGAGGAGCTGGAAATAATGCACATTCTGGACTCGGGGGTTCTACTCTGGAGATAGATTCCATAAGCCCGGGAGACCTCTTTTTTGAAACAGTCACTGGGTCAGTTTGATTTATTTTAAGTGGCCTGTATGCTACCCTTTGAGAAACAGTGGGTTAGAGAATATTAATTTACCTTACTTAAAATATATTGATTATAACTAAAATTTCTTCTTTGACAAATTGTCAGGCATTAGTTCTGAATCTGATTGTACATATAGGCATGTAAAATTATGGAAGATAAGGGATTAGAGGCTACTTTGGTAGTTGGACATACCCTAGAAATTGTAAAACATAAATAAAACCCTGGTATCAGCTTTTTGACCTGATATGATCCTTGTTAAGGACAAAAGTTTGGGCAAATGAAAATTTGGTGGTTGGGTGACTAATTGTAGTTCAAAGAATGACCACAATTGTGAAGCCTTTAATATAAATAGGTGAGGAATGTGTGTGGTAAGGGTTTGGGTAGGAGAGTAGAAGACGGTAGAGAGCAATTATATCACTAAAATAGTAAATAATAAAACTAGTCATTGACCTTTTACCGACAATTTCAGTAGAAAAAGACTTAAGAAATATATGTTTGTGTACTTTGTTCTAGGAATTTAGCATAAGGAAATGGAGGTATACAAATTTGTATACCAGAATGTATCACACAGCATTACTTACTATAACCAAACTTGGAAAACTTCTAGAAGGTTCAACTTTAAGGGGTAATGTTTCAATAAATGACGTTATGTCCATAGGACAAAATAGTCATTGAAAAAAGACACAAAATGCTCACCAATGAATGTTAAATGAGGATATAAACAGATGTTACATACAGTTTAAGTACATACATACAATATGTAATACATATGTGTTTTACATATGTATTTCTGAAGACAATTTATCAAGATTATCTCTAGGATAAGTTTCTGGGTGACTATATTTTGATTTCCAATGTTTTAAATGTTACTTTTATAATCAAATTTTAAACTAATTTTTAATAGAAGTTGGATTTTAATTTTACTTACTGTCTTACTTAAAAAGCTGTACAAGGGTACTTTGAAAAGTTCATGGAAAAAGTAAAATTAAAAGATAATATAAATCTTTCCATGAACTTTTTGAAGACTCCTTGTATAGTTATACCATGGAATTATAGATGTCAAGTGAATATTAAGAGAACAAATAACAATCCTAGCCAGTGCTGTTAAATAAGACACTTCATACGTTTTTTTAACATCTAAATGTTGTTATAATTTGTAATTTCAAAAGTAATTTTTGCTCCAGAAAAACTCCTAACTTAAAAGGAACCAGGTCCTTGATCTGAACTGTGGATTAAGGACTGAGGGAATACAACATCTAATATATAAATTACGTATTACAGTGACTTTTAAGTTTTTCCCTTTTTATTTTAAAATATCGTTTTAGGTATGCTGTTTTCATTATTTATTTTAATGACTATTTTAAAGGCAATTACTTACTGTGCATTTATGTGCCAGACACTGAGCTCAGTGTTTTGTGCTCACACCCTACTTTAGGTTAAAATTAAATTATGCAAATGACAAACACAATTATGTCACATTACAACCTTTGCTTAACTACTACAGTATCAGACAGTAGACCTTGAAGTCAACCTTTTATTTTCCAAAGTGGAAATACCTATTTTTTTTTTTTTTGCTGATTATAAAAATTTTTAAAAGAAAAGCAATTCAGAAAATGAAATTTCCCCTGCTAGTGTTTCATTTCTTTTAAAATGTATTTTGTCCTATGGACATAACGTCATTTATTGAAACATTACCCCTTAAAGTTGAACCTTCTAGAAGTTTTCCAAGTTTGGTTATAGTAAGTAATGCTGTGTGATACATTCTGGTATACAAATTTGTATACCTCCATTTCCTTATGCTAAATTCCTAGAACAAAGTACACAAGCAAAGTACACAAACATATATTTCTTAAGTCTTTTTCTACTGAAATTGTCGGTAAAAGGTCAATGACTAGTTTTATTATTTACTATTTTAGTGATATAATTGCTCTCTACCGTCTTCTACTCTCTCGTATAACTTCGTATAATGTATGATATACAGTTTAGCTTTTCATAATACACTGTTTCATAATACATCATTAGTTTTGTTAAACATAAGCACTTGTTTTCAAATCCAGTACTTGAACAATTTCCTCTGTACATAGTTTAGCGGGCTAATTAGCATAAGATGCTCTTTATTAAGAGGTATATGATCTGAGTATTAACATTTGCTGAAGTTTGGGTTTTTTATGCAGTGTTTTCTTTCTCCTTTGATCACAACACAAAAACCCTTAAGGATACCAAAATTCAGTAAGTAAAGTCCAGAGACATTACTTTAGCTGCTGAATCAAATTCATACATAACACTATCATATTAAAAACCTTAAAAAAAAATTTTTTTTTAAGAAGTCTGCACTAGTACAGAACATTCCTGTCAAGATAAGACTACTTGAGAATAGGAAAGAAAGAGACAGTTTTGAGCTTTGTTATGCTAATAGGAAAAATGCTAAATTACCTTGTTGCTTTTCACTAGTGGTGGCAATTTGGGGAAATACCAGAACATATTCCAGCTCAACAACTCTCTAGGTTTCTTTATGAAGGTGGGTGGCTTAGCTCATGCCAAGTGGCTTCAGCACTAACCTCGTGTGTAAAACACAACACATTTTCATACTGTGATCTAGGTCTTAATAGCAAGCTATACTGAGTATTTTTTTTTTTTTTTTAATGTTTTGGCTATGTTTCATTCCAGAGGAAGAGCTGATTTGATGCTTGAGTTACAGCACCAGTTTATTGTTACTTATTAGTTAAATAAAGTACACTCCTGCAGATAAATACTGGATCAGAAGGCCTGTTTCAGTAATCTGATTAAACTGTAGAATACTAAAAAATAAGTTATTTCTACAGAAATCTCAGAAGGGAGCAAAAAAAAAAATCAAATTATGTACCTAAATAAACATTTTAAAGAGAAATGACCAGTCACCCTCTGAAGGTCAAACAGTATTTGCTAAGTTGTAATCCCGTTCACCATTAGGCTGCAATTGGACCACGACACTATGTTCATTAATCTCATTTGCTGCATCACTACTGTCAGTATCTTCATTGTCATCTTCCTCATAGTCTGAAGATTCTGTCATGTTCTGTTGTGATTGGGATTCCGACAAAGTTCCAAATGATGGGGTGCTGACAGAAGCTAAAGGTCTCAGTAAAGGGGTATGTTCTGACACTTCATTTTCTTCTTGACTACTATCTGTGTCAGAGTCTGAATCACCTTGAGAAGGAACAACTTTTTGCTTGCAGACTGGACAGATTTTTTTGGTTTTAGTTAGCCATGGGTCTACACACTTGCAGTGATAAGCTGTTGAAGCAAAATATACATCTTTAGTTAGTTTGCTGCAGCTGAGAATATTAATCTCTTGCCTTATTTATTTAGTGTTCTATTCTGCATCATGTAGGGACAGAAGAAGAAAAGTGTGTAATTTTTATAAATACACCCCTTTCCTTTAATGAGGCCACTAATTAGTACAGGGCCTGGCTTATTGTGTGCTAATAACAATTTTCTGTCTCTTCCCCTGTAGTATTGAACCTAAATATAAATTAGTTTATATGTAAATTCAAAGCAGTATGTAATTACTCATACCATGGGAACAGGGAAGGATTCTGAGCTTGTCTCCATCTTCATATTCATCCAAACAAATGGCACATACATCATACTCATCTCCTGGAATAGAAAATAGTAAAATATGTAGAGGAGTATTTTTAGTTTAAAATTTTTGAAGTTAGGTTTTCCTCAGTTATTTGAAATGCCTTTGATTTATCTTTAAATGCCTTTCGTTTGTTTTCTGTCAGACTCAAGGAGCTGCTTAGCTGTTCAAATTTAAGGACCTGAAGTTTTAAGTATTTAATCTCTTACCTAAAATATATAATTAAAAATTGATGTCAAATTTGTTTACCTTGATTATCTTTGCAAAAGATTTTAATGAGAATCATAATTCCATTCGTAGAGTAGAATCATAATCCCACTCTATCTAACCATGTTCAAATGCTAGTTTTTAAATATTTTATGCCAAAGAATAAAATTTCACTATTTAAATTTCTCAAAGTCCCTGGGTCATTTTTAAAGTAAAAATGGAAACATGTTAGAAAATACTCAAATGATTCTAGTAGATGTTATTAGTAAATAAAAACGGATTTGAAATGACACACACTGGGCTTTAAATCTCCAACAACATTTATCAGTTCCATGGTCCTTGGCAAGTTGCATAGCCTTTGACATACATCCAGTTCTTTATCTATAAAAAGATTCCACCTTGCAAGATTGTAAGGATAAAATGAGATAATATGAGCAAGGACCCAGGCACATAGGTATTCAATAAATGGTATTTATTAACCTTTGCCATTTGAATGGTCTTATTGTTGTATTTATCACCTCTATAATTGTGGACGTTTATTAATTCATAGCTCTTCTTGGAATTCAATTGCGGTCATAAGTTTTTAAAGGAATTGGAAGTCTTTTAAATACAGGAGCTTTTCAGTTGAGTTAGTAGTGGCTTTTACATCCCTGTGACTACTTTCAATTCAGTTTTTTCCATTAAGTGAATGTGTTAGACAAAAACTTAGAAAAATCTCAGGGAGCAAAAGACAGTTAAATTCATTGCCTATCTCTCACTCAGGGATAACAACCTTGGGAGACATATCAGAAATAAAATTAATGTCTGGATAGTCTGGATGAACATGACACATAAAAAGGGGAATGATAGTTATTTTGAAACAATCCCTTTAATGTCCTCTAGTCATCAGGAGGAGTCCTAAATAGAAAGCTTTAATGAAAATTCAAAATTTTTGTCCAGTTGACTAGATAAGGAAAATGTAGTATATATATGCAAGGGAATACTGTTCAGCCATAAAAAGAACAAAATTCTGCAATTCACAGCAATATGGATGAGCTCAGAAAAAATTATGTTAAATGAAATAAGCCAGGCACAGAAAGAGAAATACCGCATGTCCTCAACTCACAAGTGGGAGCTAAAAAATAAACAACAATCACAATAACACCTTGAACTTTCAGAAGGAAAGAACAAAACTGTGGTTATTAGAGGTGGGAGAGGGAGAAGAGGGTTGACAAGAAATTGGTTAAGACACATAAAATGATTATGTTTTATAATGATGAATATGCTAACTATCTTGATTTGATCATCACATATTGTACACAAGTGTGATAGTCAACTATGTACCCCACAACTTTCTATAAGCAATTATGTTTCAGTGAAGAAAATTCTATCCAGTGTTACTATATAGTATTTCCTACTAAATAAATACATTCTATATCAAATGCACATGTACATGTGTTAGAACCTCATGTGAGGAATTTGGTTAGCCTGATTAGACTTAACTATTAGAAGACTAAATGACTCCGATACATCTATAATTATCTGTAATTATATAGTTGACCCATTTACATGGTCTTTGAGCACAGTTCTAGTATATGAAGCAATTCAGTCATGACTAATTTCTCATACAAATCAAACTTTCAGTCTCATCACCTTGTGAAAGCAGACACAGGAACAGACTGTGGCTCAAAGCTGTGCCAAGGCTCATTTTATTAAGGCAGGGAGATTAGCCTGTATTACCCACATGGGTCCAATGTGATCACCCAGGCACTGAAAAGTGGAAGACGGAAGAAGTTCAAAGTAAGAGAAAAATATGGCTATGGATGAATGGTCGGGGAGATGCAACAGTATTGGCCTTAGGGGGTGGGGAGTGGGCAAAACCCAAGGAATGCAGGTGACTTCTAGAAGGTGGAAAAGATAAGGAAATGGATTCTCCCCTAGAGTCTCCAGAAAGGAATGCAGCCCTTGATTTTAGCCCATGTCAGACTTCTACAGATAATAAATTTGTTTTAAGCCACCAAGTTTGTGGTAATTTGTTACCACATAAACAGGAAACTAATATAGGTAGTATTTGTTTGGTTTATCTTTAAGTATACGGAATTAATGCTTTGGAATCACTGAGCTTTCGTATCAGTTCTTTGTATCGTTCTAACTGATGGATTTATATTGGTCTCCCATATTTTCCTGCTACAGCACACACTTTGAGGATGACGGGGCAAGATTCAAAGGTGTAGTTTATGGTCATGGACCAGACTGGAGCCTAGTGCTCTGTAGGGAATTAACGCTCATGGCCTTGGAGTTGTGATGAAATGATAAAGCGTGTTAGAATGGGGTTCCCATCCTGCTCCTTTTATTTATTAGCTATGTAACCTGTAAGACACTTACTTTATGCTTCAGTTTTCTCAAAGGAAAAACAAAAATATTAACATGCCTATGTCTTAGGATTGTCTGTGAGCATTGAAAGAGATAATGCAAGTAGAGTACGTTACATGGTGTTTGGCATATACAGTACTTCTTAACCAATTTCCACCTGGCAAAACTAGCTTAATACCCATGCTGGCTTATCACATGGTGCACCTGAAGGCTGTGGCTAGGAGACTGTTCTCTAATACTCCCTGTGCTTCTGTCCCACCAGATGAACTGCATGCTTTCAAAAAGCTAGTGGCAGTGGTCACTGAACCTATCTGTTGTACTCAGGGTAATTATGTAATATTAAATATTTAGCAGCCTTTGAACTGTGAGTGTAAAGGACTTGCGGTGTTATTTGAAAGCTAGGTTGAATGCATTAGAAACACTTAAAAGCTAGTTGCTCCCTCTCCCACATCTCCCCAGCCAAAATGTGGTTAAAATGGATATGGGTGAGAAAACTAAAAGGTTGGACAAACCTATATATCAATAAAAAGCAAGGATGAAAACAGAATCCAGTTTTGTCCCACTTTAAGTAACAAAAACTAAAAACGGTAGGAAATGCATCATGCACCATGACAATTTGGAAAACAAGTCAGTGAATTAATTCCCAAAATGCTGCAGTCCAACATAAAATAATTTGTATTTAACTTAAAGATAAGTTTAAGGCATTTGTGTATTGTTAATGACTTAAAACCAGCAGATTTTTAAAGTTTATCTACTACTGGGTCTGGTGGTGTAGGAATAAAAGGGGTACATAACAAGTGCTAAATAAGTGTTAGTTTTGTTACTATTAGCACCATGCTAGAAAGTTCTGTTGTCTAGTATAAATCAGTGGTTCTCAACTGGGGATGATACTACTCCCCTAGAACATCTGATATCTGGAGTCATTTTTGGTTTTCACAAGTGGGAATTGGTGCTACTGACATCTAGTGGACCCAGGGGCTCTTGTACTGGACAGCCCCCGAACAGAATTACCCATCTAAAATGTCAATAGTGCTGAGGTTGAGAAACCCTGATATAAACCCCTCCAGGCTAACAAAACTTTACTAATTCACAGGGGATAAGATGTACAGAAGTTGGGGGAGGAGTGAGATTCATGTTTGTTATGTGAAACAATAGGAAAACACTTCTGTCTAGAATGTTTTTGTCATTATTGTTATTTGTATAAAATTTCAGAAAAATTTCATGAAGGTACTTGTAAAGTCTCATCAATCTGGGAGTGTTATGTTGTAACATGTAGGTGGACAGAACTTTGATTTTCCCCCTAAACAGACCTGTTCCTCCCTGTTTTTTTTTTCCGTATATTTCAAACCCCAAACCTTGGCTCATCAGGTACAGTGAAAGCACTGGACCATCCTAATAGGAATCACATAAAGACCTACACAGCCACTGCAGTGGCATGAGGTGAACATCAGGCCTGGGCATATCCTTGATGCTTCTTTCCCTTACAGCCTACATTCAATCTGTCACCAAATCCTGTGAACTTTTATCTGCAAAACATATCCTGAATCTGTCCCTTTCTCTCCATCTCCTCAATTATTCTGGTCCAGCTGTCTGGATTACTCGAAGAGCCTCCTCTCTGGTCTCTCGTTCTTGCACCATTTGGTTTTTCTCTTCGGCAGCCAGGATGATCTTATCGTCATTTCCTCCCCATCTCACTAAGAATAAAATGTATGCTGCTTATTATGGCCTTCATATGGCTATACGTGATCTGAACCCTGCCTCCCTCTCCCACCTCATCTCATACCAGTCTACCCTTCACTCATGCTTCAGCCACACTGGCCACCTTTCAGTCTTTGAACAAAGATGAAAATACGTTAGGTAGAGACCTGCATTTGGCCAGGCTTTAACAAAAACATTTGGACATAAAATTAAGATACAGGAAGAGGAATCACCATTTTTAGAGATGACTCAAAACTGAGCTAGTTTAAAATAATCTAGTCATAGTACAGACAACTTTTTGCAGAACTTAATTGTTCAATTTTATAACAAACTACTCCAGGCATTTGATAGGTTTCCTCGAAGTACAAAATAAAAGAAATTGAACATTCAGGGTTAAATACATACAGACTTCATGAGTGATAATGACTTAACATATACATTATAAATAATCTGCCCAGGGATGATTTATCATTGGATTCATGAGCTTCCCATTGCTGCTTCTGCCAATGAAGAAAACAATAGCAGCTTTTTCTAGCAAATAAAAATAATTCAATCATCTTATCTTCTATTCTCCTCTTCCTCCACACCAGTTCCCAAGATATCTGAACAAAAGACATGGGATAAAATATTTTTAAAGCCAAATTTGTTTGAGAATTCTTCAAGCTCTGGGCAAAGGAACTAATTTTTACTTTTAGAGTTAGATTAAGGGTAGTTAAATGTAGTTATAAAAAAGTAAGCATGTCTTAATAGCTAGATTAAAGAAGCATTCATAAAAATTATTTCCCCATTTTTATGCAATC